CACTTGTAATTACATTAAATGTAAATGGATTAAATACTTCAATTAAAACAAAACTTGGGCCTGCCTTGGTGGCTCATGCCTGTAATCCCAGCATTTTGGGAGACTAAAATGGGAGGATTGTTTGAAACCAAGAGTATGACATCAGCCTGGACAATGTAGCAAGGCTTTTTTTTTTTTTTTAATCGGAGTCCCACTCCACCGCCCAGACTGGAAGGCAGTAGCACACTCCTGGCTACCACAGCCTTGACCTGGTAGGCTCTGGCGGTCCTTCCGCCTCAGCCTTCCAAGTAGTGGGAACTACAGGTGTGCACTACCACACCTGGCTAATTTTTGATTTATTGTAGAGACAAGGTCTCGCCAAGTTGCCTGGCCGGGTCTCGAAGCCACTGGCTCAGGCAATCCACTTGCCTTGGCCTCCCAAAGTGCTGGGATTATAGACTGAGCCACTGAGCCCAGCCCATAGCAAGACTTCATGTCCACAAAAAGAAAATAAAACAAAACAAAAATTAGCCAGGTGTGGTGGTATGCACCTGTAGTCCCTGCTACATGGGAGGCTGAGGTGGAAGGATTGCTTGAGCCCAGGACGTTGAGGCTGCGGTGAGCTGTGATCATGCCACTGCACTGCAGCCTGAGTGAAAAAAAAAAAGACAGATTGGCAAAACGAATTGAAAAAAATATTCCAACTATATGCTGTCTATAAGAGACACACTTTAAACTGGGCATGGTGGCTCACACCTTTAATCCCAGCACTTTGGAAGGCAGAGGATAGAGGATTGCCTGAGTCCAGAGGTTGGAGACCAGCCTGGGCAACTTGGTGAGACCTCGTCTCTATAATAAATCAAAAAATTAGCCAGGTGTGATGGCACATGCCTGTGGTTCCAGCTACTTAGAAGGCTGAGGCAGAAGGATCGCTTAAACCCAGCAGGTCAAGGCTGTGGTAGCCATAAGCATGTCACTGCACTCTAGCTTGGATGACAGAGTGAGACTCTGACCCAAAAAAAAAAAAATTTTAAGCCAGAGGTGGTGGTGTGTGCCTATGTCCCAACTACTTGGGAGGCTGAAGTGGGAGGATCATTGAGACCAGCAGTTTGAGACTGTAGTGTACATGTCAGCAAACAGACACTGTATACCACCCTGTGCAATCCCAGCATAAACCCCATCTGAAACAAGAAAAAGATCTCAACTCAATAACTTAACTTTAATAAAATAGAAAAGGTCAGCCAGGCTCGGTGGCTCAGCCTGTAATCCCGCGCTGTGGGAGGCTGAGGTGAGTGGATTGCCTGAGCCTGCGGGTTCAAGACCCGCCTGGGCAACTTGGCGAGACCTCATCTCTACAATAAATCAAAAATTAGCCGGGCGTGGTAGTGTGCGCCTGTAGTTCCGGCTACTTGGAAGGCTGAGGTGGAAGGATCACTGGAGCCCAGCAGGTCAAGGCTGCAGTGGCCGTGAGTGTGTCCCTGCCCTCCAGCCTGGGCGACGGAGTGAGACTTCAACTAAAAAAAAAAAAAGGAAGACTGAACTAAACCCAGAGCAAGCAGAAGGAATGAAATAATAACGACTGGGTGGAAATAAAAAAAGTGACTAGAAAAACAATATAGTCAAAAGTCAAGAGTTGGGTTTTGAAAGGCCAAAAAATCAACAATGCAAAGCTGCTCTTCTTTTCCCATCATACAGTCTGATTTCTGAAAACAGTCTTTCAGTTATCTATTGCTGTATGACAAATCACCCTCAAATTTAGTGGTTTAAAACAGCAGCATCCATTTACTTGTTCAAAATTCTGTATTTTAGGCAGGGCTCAGCATGTGTGACTCAACTCTGCCCTCCATGGTAGTCTCCAGAAGCTCGATGGGGACTGGGACTTGGAGACTCACAGGGCCTGGAGCTGGTGCTGTCAGCTGGGGCTGTGGTTCCGGGCCTTTCTTTGTGCCCTGTTGGGCTTCCTTCCAGCATGGCAACTGGGTTCCAAGAAGGAGTATTTCAAGCAGTAAAGTGGAAGTTGCCCATGTCTTAAAGTCACATAGAACCACTTCCGACACTTCTGTTGATCAAAACACGTCACAGAGCCAGCCCAGCTTCAAGGAGGGGGAACAGATTTCACTTCTTTTTTTTTTTTTTTTGAGTTGACGTCTCACTCTGTCACCTAGGCTGAAGTGCAGTGGCACACTCATGTCCACCCCTGCATCGACCTGCTGGGTTCCAGAAATCCTTTCCCCTCAACCTTCCAAGTAGCTGGAACCACAGGCATGTGACACCATGCCTGGCTAATTTTTTGATTTATTGTAGAGACAATATCTTGCCAAGTTGCCCGGGCTGGTCTCGAACCCACGGTCTCAGGCAATCCACTCGCCTTGGCCTCCCAAAGTGCTGGGATCATAGGCTGAGCCACCGAGCCCAGACCAGATTTCACTTCTTCATGGGTGGGGTGGCAAGTGAGTTGCAGTTCTCCCTAGTCCATCACACATGGCTCGCCTGTGATTCCTGTCAGCCGCTCTTCCTTGGTTCCTTAGGACCAGAGCACATCCAGCGATGTTCCTGCGGGACCCTAAGATCTGCTCCAGTTGCTGCGTGTGTGTAGGGGGTATAGGGAACCAGGCAGCAAAGGATGGAGAGATCGTGAGCATAGACTCTGGGACTGGGTGGCCTGCGTCTGAATTCTGTTTTTGCCACCTACGTGGTGTGTGACCTTAGGCAGTCAGTGACTCCTTCGAGCCTCAGCCTCATTGCATGTGTGCTGTATTTGCTGCTGCTGCTGTCTTCATCACTACTTGCGGCCACAGGCACCCTCTGCTGGCTTCCATCAGGTCCTCTGCTTGGTCTCTGCTGCTTTCGGTAGTCACACCTGTTTTGATGCCAAGGATCTCAGGTAGCTCCTAGGTTCATTGGATATGGATTTTATGTTTCTGTATCCCATTTTTCATGGGTTGCTTCTGGGTAATTTTGAGAGGGAGGAAAATGCTAATATTATTTTACCATATGCAAACCTGAAGTCCAACAAAAACAATATTTTTTGAGTTGGAGTCTCACTCTGCTGCCCAGGTTGGACTGCAGCAGCACAATCACAGCTCACCACAGCCTTGATCCTGGGCTCAGGTGATCCTCGTGCCTCAGCCTCCTGAGTAGCTGGGACTAAATGTGTGCACCACCACACCCAGCTAATTTCATCTTTTATAGAGATGAGGTCTAGCTATGTCGCCCTGGCTGGTCTCAAACTTCTGGGCTCAAACAATCCTCTTCTTTCAGCCTCCCAAAGTGTCAGGCATGCGCCACCATGTCTGGCCTCAACAAACAACTTTGAAGAACAGTAAGAACAAAATGGCTTCACCAGTTATCAAGACTTACTATCAAGCTGTGGTGATTAAAACACAGGCCTCGGCTGGACTCGGTAGCTCAGCCCATAATCCAGGCCGAGGCAAGTTCGAGACCAGCTTGGGCAACTTGGCAAGATTTCATCTCTACAATAAATCAAAAATTAGCTGGGCATGGTAGCATGTGCCTGTAGTTCCGGCTACTTGCAAGGCTGAGGCAGAAGGATCGCCAGAGCCCAGCAGGTTGACGCTGGGGTGGCTGTGTGTGTGCCACTGCACTCCAGCCTGGGAGGAATGAGACTCCAACTCAAAAGCAAAACAACAACAACAACAACAACAAAAAACCCCACGGTCCTGGCATGGGGCAATATTTCTCTCTTGTCTCTCTCCATCCTCACAGAACAGAATTGGCAGCCTAGGAGAAAACCCAACACATCGGGCTAGGACAGAGGTGGCATAACACATCATGAAGGAAGGGATGGACTAAGTGGTGCTGAAACAGCTAATTTTAGATTCTTGCCTTCCACCAGACAAAGTACATTCTGTGATTCAATACCTAAATAGTGTCCATCTAAAAATGGTGGCCATCACTCACCCGAAACTTCTCTAAAAAAACAAAAGGACAGTAAAGAAATTTAAAAAGTGGAAAGCCGAAGAGATAAAGAGAATGAGCAGGAGAGAGACAGCAGTGCCACAGAGCCAACAACACTTGGGTGCGGCCAAGGCGCTGCTGAATGGCGAGCACTCAGCTGCAGGGACAGGCTGTGTCCCAAGTAAGGATGCAGAAGTTGAAGCCAGCGAGGAGATGGGCTTGTCACAGGAACCCTGGGAGGCGGCAGGTGTTTCTGGAGGGGAAGTTTGGCCTGGGGCCGAAAGAGATGGATTAGCTAGAGGTCTTCAACAGACCCCTTCCCACCCCACACAGCCAGAAAGCTGCCCCTCCCCACTCCTGCAGAAAACTGGCCCCTTCCCCTTTTTTTGAGTTGGAGTCTAATTCTGTCATAAAGGCTGGAGTGCAGTGGCATGCTCACAGCCACTGCAGCCTCAACCTCCCGGGCTCAGGTGATCCTTCCACCTCAGCCTTCCAAGTAGCTGGAACTACAGGCGTGCCACCCTACCTGGGTAATTCTTTTTCTGAGTTTTTGTAGAGATGTCTCACTGTGTTGTCCAGGCTGGTCTCGAACCCCTGGGCTCAAGTGATCTTCCTGTCTCAGCGTCCCAGGGTGCTGGGATTATAGGTGTGAGTGACTTTGCTCAGGCTTTTAGCTTTTATGGTAGAAACGGGCTCTGCCTCCTACACAGGAAGGGGCCTCCGATATGGAGTCACCAAGAGAATGACAAATGGCCTCATCACTATCATTCGTGTAAAACTTACAAATATGCAAAGCAACAGATTGTGGATAAACACATAGGTAGTGAAAGTACAGAACCCTTCGTGGGAATGATGCTCACTAACTCCAGGAGAGTAGGTACCTCTGGGAAGGGAGGACCAGAGAAAATGTGGGGCTCTAGTTGCATCTGCAACATTTTATTTTCTTAAAAATAAAACCTTCGGCTGTGTGTGGTGGCTCATGCCTGTAATCCCAGCCCTTTGGGAGGCCAAGGTGGGATAACAAAATGTTGCTTGGTGGTGGATGAATGGATATCATTATTTTCTATACCTATCTATATGTTAGAAATATTTTCTAATTTTAAATGCAAACAAATCACTTCAATAAATCAGTATGTGCCAGGGAACTCGGGTCTCAGCAGGTGTCTCCTGATGTCGCTGACATGTAAATTGACTCTGTGTCCACAAGAAGAAGTGGAAATCTCTGCTTGCAGCCACCTCTCTTTCCAGTGACTTCCAGCATGTTGCCTCCTCGGTCTCCATCACCCGAAAGCTGGCAGGGGCACTTGGCTGAGATGGCAAGATTCATAAATACTTGGCCCAGTGCTGTTTACTGGGAAGGAGGGATTCACTTTGTTATTGAAATTCTAAGCCCCTTAACATGCCTTCCAAGAAGTTATCTGGTTTGGAAAATCAGAGACAAAAACAAAAGAGAGAACAAGGGTCTCAGGAAAGTGGGAAATACAAGGGGGCACCAAAAAACAAAACAAAACAAAACCCCGGAATTTATTTACAAAAATAGTGCATTTGTTCTTACATGTTTAAACTTCAGTCACCTTCAAAGTATTCCCATCTGATGCAATACACCTATCCAAACACCTTTTTCCACTGCTCAATACAGTTTTTGAACTTATCATTTTGATGCCTTTTGGTGCTTCTGCCGCTTGTTTGTTTGCCCTCTTACCCCTTGAGGACTTTTTTCATTCGGGGAAACAACAACAAACATTGCTCAGGGTGAGATGGGTGAATAGGGAGGGTGGGGCATGGGGTCATATCATTTTTGGTCCAAAATGGCTGGACACTCAGCGAGGTGCGGGCAGGTTAAGATGTTACTTTTAGCCGGGCTCAGTGGCTCAGCCTGTAATCCCACGCTTTGGGAGGCTGAGGTGAGTGGGTTGCCTGAGCCCGTGGGTTTGAGACCCGCTCGGGCAACTTGGCGAGACCTCAATCAAAAATTAGGTCAGGCTCGGTGGCTCAGCCTGTAATCCCACGCTTTGGGAGGCTGAGGTGAGTGGATTGCCTGAGCCTGCGGGTTCAAGACGCATCTGGGCAACTTGGTGAGACCTCATCTCTACAATAAATCAAAAATCAGCCGGGCATGGTAGCGCGTGCCTGTAATTCCGGCTACTCAGAAGGCTGAGGCGGAAGGATCGCCGGAGCCCAGCGGGTCGAGGCTGCAGTGGTTGGGAGCCTGCCACGGCACTCCAGTCTGGACAACAGACTCTGAGACTCCAACTCAAAAAAAAAAAGATGTTACTTTTTTTTTCTGAGCCGGGGTCTCACTGTTGCTCAGGCTGGAGAGCAAATGTCACGATCATAGCTCACCACAGACTCAAACTCCTGGACTCAAGTGATTCTCCCACCTCAGCCCCCATAGAGTAGCTGGGACTCCAGATCATGTTTGATTTTTTTGTAGAGATGAAGTATCATTATGTTCCCAAGGCTGGTCACAAGCTCCTTGGCTCAAGCAGTCCTCTCACCTCGGCCCCCCAAAGTGCTGGAATATTATAGGAGTGAGCCACTGTGTCTGTCCCTCGTAAGTTTTGTTACGTGTTTATTACAGCTAAGATTTTAAAAGTAATATACATATTAGCTGTTAGCTTACAGGTGAGGAGACAGATCCCACAGAGAGCAGGACCTAATTCAGTCTCTTGCCAAAAACACCAGGGGCCTTTGGGCTCCTTGGCCTGGTGAAGTCCTGACAAGGGAACCCTGTTTTGGTGCTGGCACCAGCTCACAGCACGGAGGTATGTACATGGCCTGCAGGACATCAGGTTGTCCAGGTGGTCTCAGATTGTAACTTGGTTCAGAGGCCCAGACTCACAGCCTGAAGGGGTGAAGCCTCACCGTACAGTTTTATTACAATCTGTCCCTTGTCAACAAGACATAGCTATGTTCTGAAGAAACTTAGAAACACAGAAACCCTCGAATGACTGGTGACTGTGTGTGGGGGGGAGGGAGAGGGAGAGGGGGAGAGGGAGAGAGAGAAAGAGAGAGAGAGAGAGAGAGAGAGAGAGAGAGAGAGGAGAGAGACACAACCACTGACCAACCATTCAAACAGTGCAGTTTTCTCTGCAGAGAGGGTATGGGCAACAAAGGGTTAAGGTTTCCCAAAGTAGTCAGGAAATTACACCTTTCTAAGGGGGGGAGTTCTAATTAAAACAGATGAAAACTTTTCCTTGAGACTCAATGCTTCCTAGTGACCATGCAGTACACAAAGTTGGGCGTGGTATATCTGTCCAGGTGCCTTGCAATGAAAGGAAAATGGGCTTTTTTTGCAACTGCCATCCAGTGGGCAGGTAACTGAAAAACAGACCTAAGGGCACAGCTCCCAGCTCTGAGACTCCGCCCAAAGCACCTTGTGAGAGGGAGGTGCGGCCCCAGGGAGGTGGCTCCATTAGAAGGCACCCAGGCTGGGCCCTGGACCAGAGGGCTGGGGTAGCCCGGCAGGGATGGAGGTGTCCCACATCAGGGCACTTTCTGCAACCCAGATGTTGGGTGAGGAGCAGGGAGGGGGAATGCTGGCTGGCATGGAAGGCACTGGGGAAGGTTTGCGGCAGAGCTGGTCAGGACGTCAGCGTGGGACGGCCTTGGCTTGACTCAAGCCTCCAGCAGGCTCTGAATGAGCAAGGAAGCTGGAGAGGCAGAGCTGAGTTTCCTGCTCTGTTCCCGAGTTTTGTAGGTATGCCAAGCAGATGGCAGAGGCTCTGCAGGGGTCCAGCCATCTGCATGCCTCATTTGCCATGTCTGCAAGCTGCTCAAGCCCACAGGGCCCATCCTTCTTGGTGGGACAGGGCCTGGTTCACGACAAATGGGCCATAAGTGCTTGGGGACTGGCTGGCTAGCAAGGGCATCAGGATGGGAGGGTGGTCCCGGAAACACTTCTAAGGAAGATACTCCATTCACATTTGATGAACTCTGAGTTACCAACTGCGACTGAAAATAGATTTAAGATCCATGGAGCCTGAAGGCCATGGGCCCATTTTGCAGTTACAGGTCCTCAAAAGTCAAGTTGCTGCTAGCTTATCACTTGCAAACGAATCCAAGACACAAATCAGGCTGTAAGGATAGCTAGAGGATCCTGTGGTCCTGGTCCCCACATGGCAAATTCAGGAATGAAGGGCCACTGAGAGATGAGAGGCTGCCTTAGGAGAAAGGACAGAAAGCCAATTTATTGAGCAGCTACTATGTTCCAGACTGGAGAGGATGATGAGTAAGGCAATGAACAAGTTCTTGGATCCCTCAGTGGGGCAGAGGAGTTGTATTGTACTATTTATACAGGCTGGTATCATCTTTAGAAAGACTCTGGTATCTGCAGAGGGTGATAGTATACATGAGGGTTTATTTTATTTATTTATTTTTGTTTGTTTGTTTTTGAGTTGGAGTCTCACTCTGTCACCCAGACTGGAGTGC